ATTAAAAATGCACCATTTTAATATATTTATGAATGTTGTTTGTAATTATGGATGTTAAAGGAATGGTTCACTCAGTATTGCTAATGTTACTATTAATGAATGGAAGTGAATTGTCACTGATGAGCGTTATTCATGTGTTGTCATGCTAATTGGAGACTACTGCGTTCCACTGATTGTTGGCAACATTGACATCGCTGAACTATTCCTTTATAAAGGGAAGAGGAAGTGAAATGACCAGCCTTGACCTTTATGGTGCACACTGGCTTTGTAGCATGCGCATGAAATTCTTTCAATAACATTTCTTTTTAGGTTTGAACCATGTTTGTAAATTAATCATAACACTTTTGCGACGTGTTCAAGAAAAATATGATAGAGGACTGACAATTACAATGCAGTCAGAAAGAGAACACAGAGTAACTTGGAGTAATACTGCCCCCATTAGATGGCATACTGTATTTCGCGTATGAGATTTCAGCTCTCAGCCCAATTGCCAGAGCACTCAGCAGCTCTGCCCACTTTTTCTCAAGCTCATGAAGATGCTTTACTAAATATATAGCACAGTGTAGAAAATGGATGCCACCCTTCATTTATTTATTTTCCAGTCAAAATGATCAATCAAACGTTACTCGATTCTCAGCATCAGAAAAAAGCAGGAAGCATCCATTTAACAGAAAATTACACCAAAGCCTCCACTGTAATAGCCTCCAGTATAATATCAAATCTATCAATATCTAATTTGTACACTTTTTACTTTTGTACTTCCAAACACAGTGTCTGACATTGTGACCCTCTTCAAAGACCTCACCTCAGCTGCCTTCAGTTTTCTTTCTTATCTGCATCTAAAATGGCTAAAAGGGGATGTTTCTGAGAATATCAGACACGATTGGCGTACATATTGAAGGGGAAAGTCAAAGGAAAATCTATAAAAAAAAGTAGTTTCCAAAACTAGAGGTCAAAAACTGATTAAAAATACATCCATCTATACATACAATCTTGCAAGCCTTGATTGACCAGCAAAACTGTCATAATCAGATAAATTGTACTTAAAGCTTTCATCTTTGAGAAAAAATCAAGCTCCACTCTTGTTTCAGATCTGCAAAAATCCATGTATTTCCTTCCATTGTAAGAAGACAACTAAAACTACAATGCTGTAGGTCTAAAGACATGTGTAGCTATCAGGAAATAAGAAAGAAAGAAAATAGACAAAAAAAGAAGAAAGAAGAACACTGAAAGTGAACATCTCTGATGTGGAATAAGGTTTCATGGACTGATAAGTCTGAAATTGTTGTTGGACTATATGCAGTGTGAAAAATAATAAAAAGCAACCAACTTTTAAGACTGAAGTTGTGTGTGGAAAAATATCCATTTCTTTAAAAACTGAAAGCAAGTGTCCTGAAACAAATGGAAGCTGTAATAAAGATGAAGTACATTAAATACTTAACAGTTTTATATTACATTAGGTTGCTGAACTTCTGTTATATTTTATGGTAAAATGAATATATTCTGTTTTTTTTCTGGTGCTGAAAAATGAATAACCTGTACTTAATGGGCATTCTGGTTTAAAATTAAAGAAGTGAAAGGGTGGTCTCTGACTTTTGTATAGTATTTTGAACAAAATGAAATACAATATTACTAAGTACTCTTTTTTTTCTTTCTTTCTTTCTTTCTTTCTTTCTTTCGACCTGAAAAATCAGATGTTATTCTCTCTTACTAGTCTGACTATTCACATTTATTGAGGTGGTACTCTACTGTATTGGTATATGAGACCAAGGGTTGTTATCTGGGGGCAATAAATCGTCTTATCTAACCTGAACTGAGACCTTTAGCTTCTGGCTGAACTATAAATAGCTCCAGGGCATCTACTAATCTCTGTGTAGGTATATTTCTAGACCAAGCCCGTAAGTATGGACCAATCACCAATCAGTTAGAAAGACAACAGCTTTGGTTAAGCACAGGCTCAGTGGTGACACTGGTATCCCAAGTCAGTTGGTATATATGGCACATTGAGGTAAGGATGTGGTATCCATTAGTAGTTTATTTGATCAGGTAGCATCTATTTCAGGATACAGTTGAGACTAAAAGCAAAAACATTTATTTTGTTTATGTGTAAAAGACCACACTGTCATTCAATGCTAAAAGCTACGAGAACACAGAGGAGAACCCTCAAGGCCTTTTAGACCTTCAGAGAAGACCTAATGATTTCTGCAAACTAAAACATGTCTGTAGTATTTAGTTCTTCTTCATTCAATAGAATCAAGCTTGTATTTAAACTCTGCAAGTGATGTAGTAACACTCTTATTTCACTGTTAAGTTAAAGGGTGAAACTCTTAAAATGCCCAACAGAAAATTACCCATTCAGGATTTTTTTCTGTGATCTCTAAGCAGACACAGCCAAGCAAACTCTGCCACTGGTTAAGGCTTCAGAAGCTGGACAGAAGGACTTACTTATTGGATTACCAAAAAGTCGGAAGTGATAGTGTAATCAGTTGATGAGGTTTTGATTTACAATGGGCTGGGACTAATTTCAGGTCTCTCTAGGTCTTCTGAAAGTCCTAGATACAGCACTGACTGCAAATATGAATGGCAGTCTGACCAGGTTTCAGTCAGTCATTAGAAATGGAAAACAGCAGCTGCTACTCTTGATGGCTGTAAAACCACAATATACAAAGTGGAAAATATGTTAATATGTCTGAAATTCAAATAAAACACTGAATGTCTTTTGCAGTCTTAGTCCAAATATCTATTTTTAATCTAGAGCAGCCAAAAAAAAACAATTAAAGTTAATTTCTGTTAGCTTAGCACTAACATACAAACAGAATGCAATTGGGATGCTAGCAGAACTTTGATGGGGTTTTTTTTCCTCATTTTTGGCCAAGTTTTGAAATTTCTGGTATGAAGCATAGGCATAGCCCTACTGCATAAATTGTATTAGAAGTGGATGGTCAGTGTATGTGACAACAAAACATATATACATACAATAATTCACCATTGCGTTTTGGTTAGTGATAGTATCTAGAGGCTGCATCATCTCATCTGTCTGTCTCATTTGTGTTAGCTCTATTTCTTAATCCAAATCAAGCCCTTTGCCAATCCTATTAGTGATTAAACTTAGCAAGCATCTCAATTCCCTCTGCGGAGCATGCTGAAAATAAGTTTTCACATGAGGAGTGGTCCTAATGGTTGACTTGGTCATTGAACTTTCTATCTAGTTAATTGTATCTAAGACTTTACAAATATGTAAGTTCTTGAGTTCTTGGGTACTTTCTGAAATAATCTTATAAACTGACTGAGGCTTAAATATTTTAAACAGTTATTTTAAACAGTTATAAATTATGTTATTTAAGAATAAATATATGTATTTAATTTCTGTTATTCAACAACAAACAGAATTTTTCTAAAAGCTAACAGACTAGCATGCTCCTCCAGTCTTTTTCAGAGATAAGCTTGACATTGAAGCATTTACTAAATCTTTTTCTAATATCACAGAAAAAATGTAATACATCATTGCTGAAAAAAAACAAAAAAAAACAAGTATTTTTTCATGATGAATGGACCAATAGAAATGCTCCAAAATTGCTTGGAATAAAATTTACATTAACTTCCATTAAAAGGACGTTGCCCCAACACACACACACACACACATAGTACAGCTGAAGCTTGTAAGACATGCAAGTAACTTATTATAGTAGCTTGGTGCTAATATAATATTGCAATTATTGTATTATATAACATTAATGTAACAGTGCTAAATAGATAAAAGATACTTTACTACAAGTTGAATATTTCTGAAAAAAGTGTTGTTTTTAATTTACTTGATTCATGTGTCCGCATTGCTAAAATATGTCAACACAGCTTTTGCCAAAAGTAAATGAAGGACAGTAATTTTGTTGATGTGTTAATGTGAAATGCATACAATTGTATCAAGTAAATCGAAGCACTACTTTTCCAGGGTATTCTGGAAAATTTTCCATTTTTTTCCTGCTGTACATTGATGCATCTCTGTCCACTAAAAACTGAAAAAAATGGCCAGAGGAGATGACAGTGCTGTTTCTTCTGATAAGTAGGTCTACTTTTGGTGACTAGCTTTAAAGTAAAGCTTGTAGTACTGTATGCTTTGATGTATGATTATGATACCATTACAATATTGTTATAACAGCCATACAGTAAGTTACAGTCTGATACAGTATATTCTGCCTGTACTATACACATTTTCCCAGAATTCAGCACAGGATTCTGTATAAAACACTAAAATGCTTTGCTAATCAACTGCATTTGTAAGTTGGAACTTGCTTAAGAAGATTGAAAGAGTGAGCAAACCCCTCTGAACTGAATTGCTTTCTAATCCTGCATCTCCAGGCTGAGCTGAGTCATGTGTGAACTGCAGAGTAACTAAGCTGTTCACATGAACACTGAACCTTAATTTACCTCAAGTTTTGACTGTACCCTTTGAACAGGTGACAGGTTAACAGATTTATAGTCCTGTGCTCTGCTGAGTGAGGATGAAAGAATCAGCAATCTAACAAGATTCACAGCCAGTGGATGTGGGTTTCCCTATCCAATTATGGTCAGCTATTTGTAGAGCACAGGTCTCTGTCCTTATATGTGAACTGACATGATCTTATTTTGGCAGAATTGTGCGCTTTGTAATAAATTATGTCGGTGACCAGCTTACAAAACAGAGTATTTTTCATTTAGAGTGGAATAAAGACATGTCTGTGCAAATGTTGATGCTTTACTTGCTCTGTCTGTTGTCTATCTGTTACTTTACAGTGTCATGAATGTGTCACTGGAATAAAACATCCTGCAACTATTAGATGTGAGAAACCTCAACTTATCCTGTTACGTCCACCTGGACTCTTCCTCCTCCCCCTGTAGTTTCATTTGCCCAGTGTGAAGACTTTCAGGACTAATCTCCATTAGCTCTATTAATGGTCCAGCGAGAGGAGCGCTGCAGCGTTTGGAGAGGATTTCAGCACCACGGACAGCTCCCAGGCACAAGCATGGGCCAAGCACAGCAGACTGAGCAGAGCGCAGAGGTGGAGGTAGACGTGGCTGCTCTTCAGGAAATGTACAAAAAGTTTGTGACGGAGTGTCCCAGCGGACTCTTGTTTTTGCATGAATTTAAGCGATTTTTCGGAGTTGACCCCACAGGAGAAGCATCGGAGTACGCTGAGAGCATGTTCCGTGCCTTTGACAAGAACGGGGTGAGAAATAAAACAGCTTTGGGCGTTTCTCCCTTTCAGAGAAGAAAATATGTGAATGCTTTAATTTGTAACATGTTCACTGTAGCACAGCCTGAGGATCACAGTAAGCAGACTGTCCATGCTTTAGTCTTTAAACAGAAATAATTAAGAAGCTGTAAATTCATTCAAATTAATGAGCAGATGAGAGAAAGAGATACTTCTGCAGCACAAGACATAGATGTAATGCAGTTAGTCGTGTTTGCAGTGTTTTGTTAGCTACTTTTGTAATTGCTGAAGATGTGTTTTTTGTTTATTTGCAGGACAATACCATTGATTTCTTGGAGTTTGTGGCAGCTTTGAACTTGGTGTTCAGGGGAGATTTAGAGCACAAGCTGAGATGGTCATTCAAGGTATATGATAAGGATGGCAATGGCTTTGTGGACAGGGCTGAACTCAGAGCGATTATTGAAGTGAGTCCTTTTTTCTGCTTTTGGGTGTTTGCATCACTAGTCTGTCCTTGATAATGTCCTAGTGCAAGAATTAAAGCTAGTTCTTCTAGTTCTCTCATTTGACTTGCACAATTCTCCACCGACTGCTCATATCCCAGGGCTAACAGACCAACATTAAATGCTTTATAGAAATGTAAAAACTGATCGCATTGATGCCACAGTATGCACAGTAACAGATGCCAAAGATGCATAATATATGAATAGCCCTTGTAATTTAGATTGAAGGCCAGTCAACTAATTTCAACCTGTAGACACATTATATAACAGTGCTTTATTACTTATTTGTAAGCCTGTAATTCTCAAATGGTAGTGGTTTTTTAACATCTTGCCTTTTACCCCTCTTTCCAGAGTATATATCGTATAAAGAAAGTGGACAGGAGAGAGCTGGACACCTCTTTAGATGAAGTTTGTGAGCGAATCTTCCGAGTTGTAGATGCAAATGGTGATGGTGAGTGAGGTTGCCCTTTTTGATTCAGTGATCCAGAAGCTGGGCTTAACCCTTAAATTCCCAACTTATTGCATTCTAAGGTTTATTATTTAGTAATTAAGTGGAAACAATGCAAACTGACAGAGTTATTCTTTAGTTACATTAGTGTGAAATGGAAGCTTGAATCTTCCGGCATGTGCTGACCATTTAATAGTAGCTATAGGTCTGTAATAGTGCAAACAAAGACAGCTGTATTGAACAGAACCTAATATTAAAAAAGAAAGCTATTGGAATAGAATCTTTTCCCCACCCCCTTGCATTAGCTAGGGACAACAGAGGCTGATCAACTGGCCCTATTCCCTTTTGGGATAATCTCCATTAGGTATTACTGTAAGTATAGTCATCCAATTAAAAGTTCAGAATTAGTGCAGTGGGTTAAGTATCAGCTTTGATGTTTGGTAATGTCTATCATGTTAAAAGCATTATTCACACTCATTCTTACTACTTGTAACCCATTGTACATCTCTCCTAGGCCGCATAACACTGGAAGAGTTTGTAGAAGGGGCTCAGAAAGACCCGTGGATTCTCAACATGCTACGTTTAGACATGAACCCTTACAGCTGGGTGTTGGACCAGAAGAGAAGGAAAAGTGCTCATTTCTGAAAATGAAGATATCATTAGTTAATATCCAGATACACAATGCCAATATTAATGCTGTTGAGATTTCTTTGTCTTCACCCTAAATCCGTCAATGTGCCTCATGCTACCGTACTGTTTCAGTGAATGGCCTTCTTCATTAGACACAACACAACTGAAGCACTGCTTAATTGAATGCTTTATATTTTCTATGTTTATAGAAATGGAGATTGAGGAAATAAGATGAATGAGGAGGATATTTTAGCATTGAAATGAAATGATTTTTATATAAATAAATAAATATAAAAATGTTTATTTAAATTGATATAACTGCATGTTTATGCACACACAAGCATTATTAGACTGATCATTTGATGTGTGATTTCAAGCAACAGGATAGCCTCATTGTTGAGGTTTTAAAGAAGAGTATTCTTATTTATTTATTTTTTATTTATTATTATACACTTTAACCTGTAGCCTATTAAGCAATGGAACAAAAAAGCTTTAAAAAATGACATTTCTAATACTTTTTTAAATGTATAACCTACACTGAAAATCAGAATAAAAATGCTTCTCCTTGGCTGCTCTCTCATTTCTAGAGGTTATTTTTTTTATGAAATTGAGACCAGTTCAATTTATCATTTTTGTTACATAAAATATATTCTATATACTAGGGGTGTATCAGCGTATCAAACCATTGTGACATCGCAAGGCAAAAAACACAACATTCTGTGTTGAGGAGAGCAGACATACAATTACTTCTGATACTTAATGCAGTTGCATTGTTTAAAGATAACCAGCACCAATCAACAACACCCTCCAGCATGTTCCTGTCATAAGCCACACTTCTCCTGTAGATTATGCTACACCTGGATACAACCAGACAGCCCCTGGAAGGGGCTGAGCCCCTGTCTTTTTGCCCTCAGGCTGTACAGGTGCCCTCTTGGTAAGATCATATTATAACTGTGCTTTATTCAGCCATTCTTCAAGATCCATTTCAGAAAAGAGCTTGTGGGTCTGGTCCAGTTCCACAAACTCCATCGTTCTTGAGCGCCCCCTTCTGGTGCAGTACCAGTGGTGCCTATGGAGATTTCCCATCTGTAATTACAACCTGTCACAGATGCATGCATCAACACAGCGCTGGACACTGATAATCTGGTGTTACATTGCACAATGTGGTGATTTTACAACAACAAAACAAATACCAGTGTGAGACCTTATAGTAGTTAGCTGACAGTTACTGATGGCAAGGTGGTTAGTGTTTCAGTTTTTCATGCTGAATAATGGGGTTTGAAACTATGTGAGTAATTAGTAAAAGGTGGTACCAATTACTAATTACAATTTCTCACATGTAAGCAATAAAAGAAAATGCTTCATAATAGGATAATTATTTGGAGTGACAAGGTAGTAAATACAAAAATACCCATACTAAATTTGACATGATTAAGAAGAAAACTAAATCATAAAAATCTCTAATTAATGCTAGGACCCTGTAAAACACAGTAAGAATTCATTTACAGCCCAGATTCAGTTCTGATTCTGGATAATAAACCGGTTTACACAGCTGTATGCAAAAGTTTGAAGGTCCAGTCAAATGACATGTTTTGGTGAGTGAAAATAAGTTGACACCCTCTACAGGTGTTATTTACTGAGTTTACCACATTGTTACTCTGAATAATATTCCATTATGATATATTTTAGTATTAGTACTTATTTGCTTAATAGCTTGAGCAAGTTAGGAATTTCAATGTAATTTATTTAGACTGTCTGATTACTTGCTATATTTTAACTAATTACACATTTAAAATAGTTACACAGCACTTTAGATATTGTTCCACATTCTTACTCAGTTAATATCTAGAACCTGTTTGGCTCTTCATTGTAATTTAGTTAAATTGCTTTGGGACTCACCACGGTAACCAGAATAATTACCTAGTACTTTGTAGTTTGTTCATCACACTAAGCTGATTCACCCCTTAAAAATCTCAGGCTTTTTCCACTCAAAGGCTTATTATTCAGTAACTACAGGGACTTCAGTGCAAACTTGCTGAGCTATTTTTAGATTATAGAAGTGTGTAATAAAACTCTAGATCTGCTCGTGGGCCCTGGCCATTTAAGAGGTCAATACCTAGAAGTTGTGGGACTGTAAAAGAATGTGTTACTGATATGATTACTATTTCCTCTTCCTCTGATCATATATCAACAAACATCTAACTGTTTTTTATCATCAACTGATAAAACTGACTACAATTAATATGACACCACTAAGACTACAATTAAATTACTGTAAAACTCACTTAATACTTGCTTCTGTATACTTTCTGGTATACTTGATCCATCTTGTGGGAGTAAGTAAGGGCAGTGCTTTTGATGAATTTGTACTTTTGCGTATAGCATATCTTCAGAATGATGATGCTTCTTATTTATATTCAGGTGTGTTTATGAGGAATTAATAGTATGTTTACACGCAGGTTGATTCGAGGCTTTTACATTTGTTTACTATATTTCTTTTTTGGGCTTATTATCACTCCATTCTATTGGTTGCAGCATGGACTTCTCACACTTCTAAAATAAATGTTGTTTTATTTTTGACCAAAAGATCTCAAAAAAAAAGCAGTACATAATGAACTTCAGTTTCATATTCTGGTAGATTCTGGATGTACTAAGAGGTTCCACTGTGGTTCTATAGGAACCATAGGAACTTGAGAACATTTTGTGATGATGTTTTTTCTGTATTTAATCATTAAATTGTTTAGTTTTTGAGTCGTTATTTTATTAAAGTGACAAGTCTTTCCTGTGTATGTGAAGCTCTCTGTGTCATATGATTTTTATTAATATAAGAAAGACGTGGTTTCACCACAAAAAATGTTAGTTATAATTATATGCTCTCCTTTTATGGAGAGTTGTTACTGTATTTTCTCCAGCAGGTTCAGGTAATGGTCAGTAGGTGGCAGTGGTCCATTGAGTATTGCATGAGTTCATTAATTAATGAGATTTGTGCAACAAGTACTGAGAAGCTCATGCACATCATTGTCCATCTACATCATGCTTTTTGCAGGTGAGCTGGCGGAAGCTATTGTATGTGTTGTTAAAGCTGAAGATTCGTGTGCATTTGTTCTGTTACTGAAGTTTGAACATCAACACCATGTGACAGTGATTGTCCTCAAACAGAAACCATCAATATACTCTTCTTCCGAGGACAACATCATGGCTGCTGAAAAAGTTCAGACAAAAGAAATTAACTAGGTCACATCATTATTATGAGTAAATGGGTTAAATATCAGTGGTGTTCCAAACAGTATCTGTTATCTCATGAAGATGAAGCATGTGAGCCACCTAGTGGTAGACTGTTCTCTCTGGATGAGCAGCAGATGCCCTCAATTTCCACCACATAATCCTTTAAAGTCAAAGGAGGAAACAGATCCCCCAAAATAATGATTAACAAATAAATGAATAAATAAACTATGGCTTATTTCACTCTCTCTCGCTCGCTCTCTCTCGCTCTCTCTCTCTCTCTCTCTCTCTCTCTCTCTCTCTCTCTCGCTCTCTCTCTCTCTCTCTTCTTTCTTTCTCTCTCTCTCTCTCTCTCTCTCTCTCTCTCTCTCTCTCTCTCTCTCTCTCTCTCTCTCTCACACACACACACACACACACACACACACACACACACTTGGAGTGTAAGTTTATATTATGCAAGCCATTCTTGCCAGATAGAGAATCTGTTTTTGGCAGCGGTATGTCAAAATTTTAGTATCTAAAAATAATGCTATATACTGTTGTACTGGTCAAAATAACTCGGTATCTTAAAATAATGACTTACTTTTCTCAAAATAATTACTTACTTTCTTGCAATGTAATCATTTAGTTATTATTATCACAGAGTAAATCACTAGATTGGAGAATCAAAATGTTGAGAAAATAAGTCACTTTTTACATTTTAATTCATTGTTTTGATGTAGCCTGCTATGTCAATATTTCGAGAAAATAAGTCACTCTGAGATACTAAATCATTTTTTCTTAAAACAACTCTTTATTTTGATATTATAAGTAATTATTTCAGCATAGCAAGTTATAATTTTTATAGCACTTTATTATCCTAACTTAATTTGATTTTTAATTTATGTTTAATATCTTCTCTTTTAAATCTCTTGTTTTAGTCATGTTTTTTTGATTTATATGCCCCTACATTTGTTTCATTTTTTTATTTGAATTTTATTTGTTTTTTCTAAATTGTGAAGCACTTTGAATGCCTGCTGTGTATGAAAGGTGCTGTATAAATAAGTATTCTCTTGCACTTCTCTGAGTTCTTTAGCTTGTGTCATCTATTGCCGTGAACATTTGTCCACCTCTGTGCCATTGTGTTCTGCAAGACATACTGATCTTAGTTGGGCCTCATTACCTAGTTTTAGGGATCACCATTGCAATATTTTCATTATAATCCCTGTAATAAAAGTTAAAAAAAAACTCTATTTTTGAGACAACAAGCACCATATTGGTCTCTTGCACAATGCAGAAAGTTACAGTAAATCTTACCATGTTTGATGTTCTGACTCCTCTCCCTGACTCACACACACAAAAAGGTGAATGGAATAATTGATTATACATTTTCATTTATTAACATGGTCGTATCCAATTGTTTTACGCTATGAAAATATGTATTTAACCCTGTCTGAACTTATTTAATGTTCTTTAATTTGGAACAGCTTAAAATCATTTAATAATAAAATTAATTAATAATTTGGTTGCAATACCCTGCTCTCATTAAAGACTTGATCAGAATTCTCTGGGAGATCACATGACTGTCTCTCTGCCAACACCAACCAATCCCCATTCTCTCTCGCTTCAATACTGATATGTAGTACCAGTTCGCTTGGATCTCTTTTGTTATGTACATTTGGATTTATCTGGTTTTGACCTCAGCTTGTTCATCGACTATGTTTCTCCTGAACCCCAGTGTCAGACACATATGTTTTAACCACATGTGTCTGACCTGTCTGGCTGTGTTACACAATTGTATATCATACACTGCA